ATTCTGCTCCCAATTGTGGTCCTAAGTTGAGGGTACTATGAGTAAGAGATTATGATTCAATTGTAAATAGAGAATTTTTTCTTCCACTCAGTTGTATCTGATTTTCATCAGCTGATTGGACAAGTCCTTGCAGTTTTCTCAGCAAGGAAGCCATTGCCTCCTTCCCAAGTCTGAGAAAATGTGATTGTGCCAAAGTTGTCCAAGTGACTTTGTGCCTAAGGTAGGTTTGGAACTCAAGGTATCCCAGTTTTTAGCTTGATGCTTTAACCATTACACCAAACTGGTTCTCTCTCTTTACCTATTTTAATTTCAAAATATCCAGGCTCAAAATATTTTATCTTGGATATATTACAAACTCAAAACTCTTCTAAATCTTTAAAGTGAGTTCAAAATGATTTGAGCATACCCATTAAGAGCAAGCCTCCCTGAAGATAGTGGAACTTAATGGCAATTAGGCACACATCTTTGGATCCGCTTGATCAAAGAGCAAGTGGCAACCATAGCTAGCTTTCTTTAGTGCATTAACTGCAGGTGGTATATAACCATAAAAGCAAACTGAAACACCTTAACAAAAAAGTAACAAGAATAAAAAAGCCAGTCAAATTTTGAGGAAGATTATGCCACAAATCAGGCACCACATCCAAAACAATATGCTTTCTAAGTCTTGACAGACAGCATTGTTTCAAGGAAGAGAACTGAAGAGTGCCTCTTCTACTGGATCACGTTGGATACAACAAATAAACCAATCCTATGTGTTAAAGAGCTTTACAAACACCTTGAATGGAATCCCACTGTAAGCATGTGCATTCACATAAGGATGTTAAATGGACTTACTGAGGTTCCCTTATAACTACTCATTCTGTTACATTTTGCACCAATTGCAGCCTCTAGGTCAGGGGTGTCAAACTGGCACTGCACAAGCTGGATGTGTCATGTGCAAGCCACGTCCACCCCAGCTCCATAAAGGGGGAAAAGGTAGCAAAAGTCACATGATGGCCACGTGACGCTGCAAGTTTGACACCCTTCTCTAGGTGGTCTTCAAAGGCCACCCCACGTAATATGCACTTGCAGTAGACCAACTGTGAGGTGACTAAGGGATGAGTGACCACAAGAAGAGCCTCCTATTTCAGCAATGGTCACCATTAGCACACTTGAGTTAGCCACAGCTATCAGCTGTTCCATGAGGAGTTGCAGATCCAAAAGGACCCTACCCTCAATTGTGAACTGGACTAAAGTGAAGGAATGCTACTCAAGGAACAGGAAACAGGCCAAAAACAGAAGCTAAGAATAAAGTATAGAAATACTGAAATATGAAGTAGTATTGAATCTTTTACATAAGGTCCATTTTAAGAAGTCTGTTAATAGTTTTATGATGATATTAGGGTTACCAGAGCTGAGTTGCAGAAATATGGACACCCAGGAGATGGCAAGAAAGAGGAAATCTTATTAGTGGTCATCTAGACTTCTGCAGCCCAGATTTTTTTAGCCCCAGTGATAAATAGGGATACAAAATCCCATATTTTTCTGTATTCCCGGTATTCCTCTCTGGACCCAGATTCTGAAAATAAGAAATTAAATGTATTTGTTCAATACATGGTGTTTGTGTTAAGACATCTATATTCCAAGCAAATAAAGTACTGAACTGAAGCCAGGGTATCCCTGGGATCAAAGCAGTCGGGAGGATGGGCGCAGTTGTGCAATCCAAGTTTCAATGTGTGTGTGTGCATGTGCAACTGATCCATGATAAAAGGAGCAGGGCTTTGATTACAAGCCACTAACTTGATTTTTTTACCCACCCGCCCTTTTGTCAGAAACCTTTTCAGCTGCACATTTTATTTTATAATAATGTCTCTAGTAGGGCCTATATTGGATTAGACGCATTCTTGGATGTATAAGCTATGCCTTCTTTGCTTTGCAATATACTAGTTTCCCTTTGTTTTAATTAAAACGTGGAAACAATTAAAATTAGATAATCACTTATCTCTCAAATTAACACTGTCAGAAATTTTCCTCAACACTTCCTTACTAATAAAAAAACTCCAATGATGGAAGTTTAACTAACAAAAAAGATAAAAGGTAACTGTGTAGGTTATAATTACTTTTATATCCAAAAGATTGAAGAATCATGTTTCATCTCATTCTTTTTTCCCAACTGGATTTATTAAACTATTCAAAAAAAATCAGACTTCTCTTCCTGCAAATTATTGGTAAAATTGCTAATTCCCAAGCAGGAATTGTCAAAATGGTGCCATCCAGATGGGTTGGGCTACAACTCCACCTCCCGGCCAATACTGTCAATAGGTCAACCCTTTTGCAGGGCTTTTTGCGGGAAGGCTGCCATAGACGTGCGAATACGGGTGGTCTGCAATAACAACTGCTTAGAGAAGGAAGACCAGAAAACCTATGCTTCCGGGGGAGAGGGCGCAAAACAGCCGACATTCGCCATCACAGGCATCGCGTCCGCCCGCTGTACCTGCAGGTAATCCATCCGGTTCAGACTCAGTTCCATGGCAATGGGCAATGGGCAAGTTACCAAGGCTGGCTTCGGCTTCCTCTTTCCAGTACTCCTCGGGCATCAGTATCGCGAAAGCTTAGGGCCTAAAAACGATCTCCCGACCTCTGGTTACTATGACGACGAGGCAGTGTTGCGTAAACCCGAAAATGCCCTGGTTTTTTATTGGAGGCGGTGCGCTCTTGGGCGGTACGCTTCGCTTTAAACGCGCCTCGTGATTGAAGGAGGAGCTGTCACTCAAGCAAAATAAATAAATCCCCAGCTCGGGATAAAAACTCAAGAGCATCTGAAACTTGGAGGTGATCTCAAGGAGGAGGTGAAGCTTCCCAAGCGGAGTCTTGGATTTAGCAGGGGAACAAAGCTGGCTGCAGGTGTTCTGGGGGGCTGAAAACCACACATTTCATAGCTGTCAAGTTTGAGAAACACCAGGTTAGAGGAAGGCATTTTATTATCGCATAATAATAATTCGAGGCCTGTGTTCTAGTGACCGCTACCTAGTTAGTTAACTGACACATGTTGTATGTAGTTAGCCAAGAACCATGGTTTACTCAATTAATTTACGGGCTATACAATTCACTAAAATACCACTAACAAATTGGTATAGCATGTCTGTTAGTGGTCGTCTAGTTTGTGGTTCATCGTGCTGGGCAAAAAAAATAATCGGTGTATGCAGTTTTTTAATTGAAGGTACATAGAGAAAAATGTGAACAGATTTTAAAAAGTAACATGCAAAAATATTGTGACAATTAAGTTGAATTTTGAGAAGCAGAGTGACCATAAATGCTGTGTCTGAAAAGTGCTTTTTCAAGAAGCCTCAAAATGCTAGATTAGTGAATACATATAGTGCAATTTGTATCTGTTAAAGTTAAGATTCATGTGGTTCTTCATGGCTTAGCCTTAGATCAGTGAATACAGTTAATCCTTGACTTATGAGCAATGGTGTATTAACCATTAAGTCCACTAAGCATATGCTTAGGGCACCAGACCCAAAGGGGGCACCACAAAGTTGAGAAAGAAAAAAAAAAACAACCACTGAAGATTTGTACAGTATATACAAAGGAGGGAGGGGCACCAAGATTTGTCAGTGCTTAGGGCACCAGTGAGCCTTAATCCGCCACTGCTTATGAGTCATGACCATTCATTCAGCAGTCTAGGATCACCACCCCACCACTCCAGGCAATCCAAATTCTGCCTAACACTGCAACGTGGAGAGCCTGGATTGCATGGTTGCCTTGATTAATGACAGCAATAATTTAAGGATCGTAATTCTGGACTCAGTTTGTGGTCATAGGTCAAAGACTACTTGTACTGGACTATATAAATTAGAATATTATAATGTCCCCTTACCAGGTTGCAGTAGAGATATGGGAAGCCAGCTCTTCTCAGCTATTCCTCAGCAGCAAGTAGATATTTTGCTGCCAAAGATCTCACAGTTAGTTTGTATGACCTGCACCCAAACAACTGCATTGAATAAATCATTGGAAGTTGACCACTGGAAGTAAATAATGTAAACACAGCTAATTGAACATTCAATGATGTTTGAAGTTCATTGCTTTCTTCTTTTCTAATCCTTTTTTTCTTGGGTGATGCACATTAATCTTCACCTTTTGGGTAGAGGTGATTTGAATATTATTCATTTTATATTAGCCACTAAGAACTTTTTCAGCTAAATTCAGAACAAAAATAAATTAGGACATATAAACTGAAATATAAAACGATTTCTTTTTAAATAATACTTAATTCAGATCAAGCTATTTTATACTCTTTATTTGAATCTTACATAGTACTGAAAAAGTATTCTAGAAATGAAAGTTGAAATCAGAATTGGGCAAATGCCAGATAACTTGGAGATTTGGATGTAAATAAAATAAACTCCAAAAGCACTTGTCTGCATTCCATATATTTTAAGGGTTTTTTTTCCAGATAGCAGCAGTGTAGCAGCCTTCCTGTCTCCTTATTCCTTTAGAATAGATCAAACTCAGACATAAACTTTCTTTAGCCTGTTGTCTTCGTAGCACTTTGCTTCATCATTTTTAAGGTCATACTTCTCTAGATCTTTTGCCTATTTTAGTCTTAAATGCTTTTTATAATCTCTTTCAGAGAATGTAGACTAAAGTTGCAGTTGTACAATTGCATGCCATTTCTAGCTTTAAAGTAAATCATTCCCACTATAAAATCCAACAGTATGTCACTGTATCTTTCCACTGGCTTAACTAGACAATTTTGGCTCACCCTTCTTCCTATAATCTTCCCAGTCTTCAATAACAGATTTTTTTTAAAAAAAAACCATTATTCATGAACAATAAGACCACCTGAGGAATTATAGCTGGTAGTCCTTAACTTACAACAGTTCATTTAGTGACTGTTCAAAGTTACAAAGGCATTGAAAAAGTGACATGACCATTTTTCATACTTAAGACCATTGCAGCATCCCCATAGTCATGTGATCAAAATTTGGATACTTGACAACTAATATTTAAGATAGTGGCAATGTCCCAGGATTATGGAACTCCTGTTGCAACTTCTTACAAGCAGTCAATGGGAAAGCCAGATTGACTTAGCAACCCTGCTATTAACTTAACTTTAGTGATTCACTTAATGACTGTGGCGAGAAAGGTTAGAAAATGAGCCAAATTCAGTTGTTAAATGTTTCACTTGGCAATATCAATTTTGGATTGAGTTGTGGTTGTAGGACGAGGACTATCTCTACAAAGACATTTATCAAAATCTAGATAGTGACCTCTTAACAGTATTCAGGAAAAATCTCCAAAACATTTTTTAAAAATTCCTTTAAAGTAATTTACAGCTTAATAGTGATTTATTAATACATATGCTTGCCAGCTTAATAAAGATTAAATATTGCTTGGCTTTGCAAATGATAAATATACTGGTATATAAAATAAAATCCTGCGTTATCAAATTTGTATAACAGTTTTAGAATATGGAACTGTAGCCTGTTGCTTATTTAAATGAACAGGATTTCTCTTCTATCCCCTGCCCACAGATAAAAATACAAGAACAATATAAGTCCATAAAATATGAATATTTTATTTAACAAGTAAGCATCAGAGGCATTATTTAGAACAATGTAACAAAACTTCAGCCCTGCATAGGATCTGGCATTAAAAAAAATATTAATGTTTGACAGTTTGCATTAACTAGAAGTAAAAAACAACAGCAAACTTATTTCATATTCTGAAAGCAAATATGATACAAAACATATGAGATAAATGTAAAAGCATTATTAATATTATAATTACATTTTTATCTTCACTATCAGACATTCAGTTCCCATGGCATAGCTTTGAGCTTTCTCAAAAAAAAGAAAGTAAGTGGACATGATTCAGTGAAATTAAGCTAGAGGTACCAGATCTGGGCTGTAAGCACTTAAGATTTTCAGTATCTTTTTCTTGCCATCTTGTAATCATTCAGATTTTTGCAACTCAGATTTTTCCCCCTTCCTTTCTTGAAGTGTGTTTGATTCTCAGAGAAACGGCCTGCACAAGTGGCATGCTTTTTTTCCAGAAATTGGAAAAAAAGTCCTTCCTAAGTCTCAGAGAAAGTGACAGGCCCAAGTTCACTCACCAGGCTTTGTGCCTAAAGTGGGACTAAACTTAATTTCCCAGTTTCTAGCCTGATGTTCTAACCACCACACCAAACTAGCTTTCATAGTAGCCCTGGATAAGTAGTTAAAACATTTTCAGTTCTGTACATAGTAGTACAAACTATTAAACTTAATGGCCTACTTCTAAGTAAGCATGCATAAGATCTGACATTACAATGGACTCACTGAAATCAGTGAAATTCAAAGCAATTCTAGATAATTTCAGTGGATCTATTCTAGGCACTACTATTTCCTGAAACAATCCATTAATTTTAGAAAGATTATATCTTTAAAATGATCATGCTTAACTCTTGATAATTCATTTCAAGTAATCCCTCCTGAGCGGCTGAACTTTTGGTATTGTATCTTATAAAAATTGTTCATAGCAATAAGATGAGAACAGACATGCAGTATAATTCTAAAGTTTAAATCTACAGTATTAATTTTTTTCATTTGCTACAAATATTATTCATTTTACTAATAGAACTATTAGCAATGTAAAATTATTTAGGTACAATTGTACTATATTAAATAAATTCAAAATATGTTTTATACCTTAAATAAACATAAATTTGTGTGTAAATTCATAAAATCTTCTAAGACTGTATTTCAAATTAAACTGTACATAAAGTCATTTATTACTAAAAATTTACATATTTTTCAAGTATGAATCACTCAGAAATATTATTGCCAATGCTTGTGCTATAGTCAAAATCCAGGTAATAATCTTGAAAATGTCATTTGGGATCATTCACATCTTGATATATTTGGGTTGAGTTTTTCACTTAATTTATGTATGAGAATTGCTAATTCCTCTGTTGCTTGAGATTTGTCTTCCAAAAGTTCATAGCGAAGACTAGAAATATCTTGTTTAATTTCCTTTAATTCACCTGTGTAAAACCAAAAAGACTTTTAACATAACTTGGTAAAGTATCCTCTGCTACATTGTTCATAGTAGTTCATAAGACCAAGCAATTGAAGTTCTTCAGTTTATATTGATGAATCATCATATAAACAGATATTCAAAGTCATTACAATTGAAAGCTTTGAAAAAATGTGAAATGACTGAAAGTTGTACTATAACCTTTACTTTTTTCAATTTGTCTTCCAAACAAAAAGTTTCACAGTCAAGCAATGATGATACATCTCCGATGGCATGGGACAACTCTCCAAAGCTAACTTGCCGGGGTCTACTTGCCACAGCCAATTTGCCACAGCCAGCTTGCCATGCCCAACTTGCCATGGGATAATTCACTATGGGACAATTCAGCAATTCAATTTAATTATTTCAAATAATTTTTTAAAATATTTTAATTTTTGTCATTTACATTTCATTTTGTTCCTCCTCTTTAATGATTCTATTTTACTATTTCTTTGATATTAGTGTAACTCTTGTACTGTGTCGAGTTGTCCTGCAGTGACTTGGGCAATTGGCCATGGAGAGTTGACCATGGCAAGTTGGCTTTCCAGAATCTTTAACAACCTGCATAATAACGTCTCTTCTTGAGGTAAAATTCCTCAAACAAAGAAGCAAACAAATATAACCTCCTCTCCAGTTCATATGGAATTCATGGAATTCATATGAGCAAAAAGTTGTTAATTTAGTATGATGCACAGTCCTATGAATTATTTGACAAAAATTCAAGTTCAAAGAACATTTATCAAGTAAGAATTATTTACTTAAAAAGTAAACAGCAGGCAGCTTGGCTTGTATTTAACTTTCAGTGTAATCTGTAGTCAATATACATTATAAAACTATACTAAAAATCCTGACATTTATTTTAAGAGCGTGCAATTTGAATAAAAGATCAGTAATCTTAAAACTGCAGAACTATAGAATAATTAGTTTCAAAATTTGAGGTTTTTTTCTAATCTGTTCTGAATGCAAAATAAATTAAGATATTTGAAACAGAATTTTTAAAAAATCCTGGGATCTTGTTTTTAATGGGGAAGGGATTCAGGTTAACATAGAAAGAGTAACAAAAAACTAAAAAGAACCCACCCACCTGCAAATATAAAATGTATATTGTATGTATGTTTATATATTTATCAAATATCAAATAACTGTTCTTTTTAAATACAATAGCAGAGTTGGAAGGGACCTTGGAGGTCTTCTAGTCCAATCCCCTGCCTAGGAAGGAAACCCTATACTGTTTCAGACAAATGGCTATCCAACATCTTCTTAAAGGCTTCCAGTGTTGGGGTATTCACAACTTCTGGAGACAAGCTGTTCCACTGATTAATTGTTCTAACGGTCAGGAAATTTCTCCTCAGTTCTAAATTGCTTCTCTTGATTAGTGTTCCACCCATTGCTTCTTGTTCTATCCTCAGAATAGTTTGACTCCCTCTTCTTTGTGGCAACCTCTGAGATATTGGAACACTGCTATCATGTCTCCCCTAGTCCTTCTTTTCATTAAACTAGACATACCCAGTTCCTGCAACTGTTCTTCATATGTTTTAGTCTCCAGTCCCCTAATAATCTTTGTTGCTCTTTTCTGCACTGTTTCTAGAGAGTCTCCACATCTTTTCTACATCGTGGCAACCAAAACTGAATGCAGTATTCCAAGTGTGGCCTTACCAAGGCATTATAAAGTGGGTTCCACCACAAAACCGCGGTCGACTAAAGCGTGCTCGACAAAAGCGCGTACCTGACGTCATCACAGCGTGACGAAAACATCACGCTGTGAGCGGTAAAGTTAAAATTAACGCGAAAACCTTACCCTAACCCCCCAAACCTAACCCTAAACCTAACCCTAAACCTAACCCTAAACCTAACCCTAAACCTAACCCTAACGCTAAACCTAACGCTAACCCTTAACCTAACCCTAAACCTAACCCTAACACTTAACGTAACCCTAAACCTAACCCTAAACCTAACCCTTACCTTTACGTGAATCGGCTTGCTTTAAAAGCGCTTTTTAAAGCACCCTTTTTTCTCCGCAGTCGTATTTGTCGCGCTGCTGATGACGTCAGGTACGCGCTTTAATCGGGCGCGCTTTAGTGGACTGCGGTTTTGTCGTGCCACGTATAAAGTGGTATTAACGCTTCACGTGATATTGATTCTATCCCTCTGTTTATGTAGCCTAGAATTGTGTTGGCTTTTTTGGCAGTTGCTGCACACTGCTGGCTCATATTTAAATGGTTGTCTACTAGGATTCCAAGATCCCTCTCACAGTTACTACTATTGAGCAAGGTACCACCTATACTGTACCTGTGCATTTCGTTTTTCTTGCCTAAATGTAGAACCTTACTCTTTTCACCATTGAATTTCATTTTATTAGATAGTGCCCAATGTTCAAGTTTGTCAAGATCCTTCTGTATCTTAAGCCTATCTTCTGGAGTGTTGGCTATTCCTGCCAGCTTGGTGTCATCTGCAAATTTGATGAGTTCCCCATTTATTCCCTTATCAACTTCTGGAGGCAAGTTGTTCCGCTGATTAATTGTTCTCACTGTCAGGAAATTTCTCCTCAGTTCTAAGTTGCTTCTCTCCTTGATTAGTTTCCACCCATTGCTTCTTGTTCTACCCTCAGGTACTTTGGAGAATAGTTTGACTCTTTGGGGCAATCCCTGAGATATTGGAAGACTGCTATCATGTCTCCCCTAGTCCTTCTTTTCATTAAACTAGACATACCCAGTTCCTGCAATCGTTCTTCATATGTTTTAATCTCCAGTCCCCTAGTCATTTTTGTTGCTCTTTCTAGAATCTCCACATCTTTTCTACATTGTGGCAACCAAAACTGGATGCCATATTCAAAGTGTGGCCTTCCCAAGGCATTATAAAGTGGCATTAACACTTCACATGATCTTGATTCTATCCCTCTGTTGATGCAGCCTAGAACTTTTTTGGCTGCTATAACACAAGGCTGGCTCCTATTTAAATGGTTGTCCACTAGGATTCCAAGATCCCTTTCACATACTGTACCTGTGCATTTTGTTTTTCTTGTCTAAATGTAGAACCTTACTCTTTTCACCATTGAATTTCCTTTTATTAGATAATGCCCAATGTTCAAGTTTGTCAAGATCCTTCTATATCTTAAGCCTGTCTTCTGGAGTGTTGGCTATTCCTGCCAGCTTGGTGTCCTCTGGAAATTTGATGAGTTCCCCATTTATCCCTTCATCCAAATCATTGATGAAGATGTTGAAGAGTACTGGGCCTAAAACAGAGCCTTGGGGTACTCCACTGCATACTTCCCTCCATGTAGATGCAGTTCCATTGAGGACTACACGTTGAGTGTGATTGGTCAGCCACTTTATTATTTTCTTTTTATAGAAACTTCTCATATCTTAAAAGCACATCAGTACCCTAGAGAGATTTAGGTAATGTATTTTATCAGCTAATTTTAGAAGTCAATCCAACTCGTGGATATTTTTAAAGGTTAAGACTACTGCATTTTGAAGATTTAATATTTTAGTCATTTTTCAAGTATTTTTATAATTTGGCTTATACAGTAATTAAAAGTTTATTTTTATAAAAGTAATTTATCCAAATGCAAATCATTTATTAATTTAATTAGTTTAATTTACTAAGAAAAACACTACATCTAATATTAGATACACTATTTCCCCCACTTCATTATTTTTACCATATTTACAGTGTTAAATATGTGATTTGAAGCCCAAATAAGACAGAATATTTCTTCCCATAATTGAAATCTCTGGTTTCTCAAATACTAACACTTTTATTTTTCTTTTACATTTATAATACTGTATGAATACCTCTATAGGCTCTTACCTTCATTGACTTCATCATTTTCCTTGTCTACCTGGGCTTTCAAAACATAACGTTTTATAAGTCTCTTCATGATTTGCTATTGGAGGGAAAAACTTAATCAAATATTTATTTATGTATTTATTTATTTGCCATCCAAATTTTAAATACATGCTCCTCAAAGTCCTGAAAAGAAGATCTGAATCTTCATCTAATAAGGTCAGGCTATAGGATACAAGTTACAGGATTTAGTTCCTCTGAAGTAACTTCCATTTTAGTTCAATCAAACATTCATTTTCAAGTTTTTACACAATAAGTAGAGCTAGACATTAAACTCTATAATCTTAAAATCCTTTCTTAAATTATGATTTTTATATTAAATTATGATTTGTATAAAAATCAATTATCACAATAAAGAAAAGAAGTCATGGGCACTTTTGTATACTCATTTTAAAATTAAGGGCATTATATATTATATGAAACAAATTAGAACAATACACTAGGAAAGAAGCAAAACAAGAAAAAAACAGCTTAGTTTGAATGAACTACCTGCCCTTATGCAATTTGTGTATCTCTGCTAACTATTCTTACTGTTTAACAAACACTTATCTAAGCAGTTCTTGTTGACATGACTCCATGGATAGATGAATACCAAAACTCTCCCCCAAATTTCATTGAAAAAGAGATGTGGCTTTGTCCACGTTTGCACACATGCACATGCCCTAATACCATTAATTTTCCAAATGCTCCTACAATATTATATTTATCTTATTCATAATTCACAAGTCAACAGTCTTAAATTGGTACTATTGGTACTGGTATAAAAGTAATATTTTCTTATTTAGCATAATTGCAATCTCAAATTTGCAGAATCTACTCAATATTTGGAGGCAAAGTCAAGACGACTATAATATATCTTGCTAGTAGCGTTTTGGGGGCATTTTTGGGATGCTTACTTGTTCTAACCATGCCTGTCCCACTGACCTACATTTGTTTTTTACACCAATTTCCTTCTGCCAACAAGATAAGAAAATATGATAGAAGACCTGTATTTCCTTCAGAAATAAAAAGGCCCATCTGTGTAATCCACTGAACCAACAGCTTAAAATGCAACACAGTATTTTCTTCATTGCTTTGGTTGTTAATTTACCCATTCCCTGTTATTGTCATTGTCAATCATTTCCCTTCTTCCCTTGAAGAAAGGGGAGTTACTGTACGGAAGATGACTGTACAGAAGATATTTAATTGCAAAGTCATGGCAGTATTGTCTTTCTTGTAGGCTGTTTCTGCTGTCTTCCCATGTATTATTTTATTTTGTATTTTAACTTTGGAGAAGGACTGGTACAAAGCCATCTTAGAGAAGTACAGAGAAACTTCTGAAGTCACACTCATTTGAAACATTTTTCCACTTCTGTAAAGACTTCTAGAGCAGTTGCAGTTTAATAAAAGCAAGAGAACTTTTAACCTTAGGCTATATTTTATAATATATGATAATGAAGTATGTTAAATAAAATGCATAAATACATAGGTACAGTACTCTGAATTAACTCCTGGTACCACTTACATCAGTATCTACAGGATAGAAGATAGGTTGCTTTTTATAGGATTCAGCATCTGGGTTATGACTCCCATAGCAGCCAACACAGATACAGGTGCATGCACATAGTCTCCCTCCGGCAGATAGTTGTAGTGAATTGTCTACAGTAAACGGTCATCATTTAAGTGATGCCAACAAGGAAGAGGGATTGTCTGGAGTGTTTCCAAGTTGTGCTCTGCTTTAATAATTATGTAGTGAGGGAAACAATTACCAGTTTTTAAGCAAGCAGCAATAGAATGACAACTGGAATTTTATCTCCCAAGAAGTTGTAAGAAAACCTCTTACAGTTAAACATATACGGTATCATTCTAGGTATGTAATATGCCCGATTTCTACCATAAATGGAAACAATCCTAATGTATTTCATATGAGTTTGAATGCACATTATCCAAGTAACTGCTTACCTGATAGCGTGAAGGTTGATTGAGAATGCTGTTAAAACTGTGTGATTCAAAAACTCTTGAGTTGGATTGAGAAAAGAGATTTAGCTAGAAAACAATATAGCTGAATTAAAATATATTCCATAATATTTGCTACTATATATGATGCTAATACTTAATGATTGATGACAGAAATTAGTACCATTCAGGATAAAATTCTGAAAGAAACAAGTTTCAATTTATGATATTACTAATATATATATCTATTCCTAGATTGAATAATATATTGAGAAATATATTATTTTAACCTTTTCCTAAACCAAGCACATTGAAAAAGAATGCATACTCCTGAAAAACAATCATTACTGTACACATCTTACACAGCCTAACAACTTCCACATGTATAGCTTGTGCTTGGGCTGAACAGGGCATTAGAACTGAACAATATTTATAATAGTAAAATAAATAGTAATGCAATGAATCTGAGAAAAATGTGATTAGTTTGTCAGAAGTAGTGCTGATTATTTTCTGTTATTTTTCATGCATCTGATAGCATAGTAAAAAAAATGTCTCATTAATAGAGAGGTTCAGCTACTGCAGCAGAGCAAGATCCTGCTAGGATAGGAGCCATTGACTCAATCAAGACAAAGAAGAGGCAGCATAAAGGATGAAGGCAAGGATAATTCAAACTGATTGATGACACATTCTCCAGACATCCAGTAAGCCAAGGTGTTGCATAAAAAAAACTAAAATAAAACCCATTTTCCTTGAAAAAAGATATTGGATACCAACATATGCATGAAATAAGGTATAATTTATGTAGTCTTTGTCCTTGATACTGGTTATATCCTAATACAAACACAATTTTTTGCTGTTGAAGTGACATAAGGCTTGCACACTTATAAGCATTTCTATGCTAAAAAGCCAATTATATAGAGATGGACCTGAGATAATGGGAAAAGGTAGCACTCCTAATATCTCAGCACTTATATTTATTTAGCTGAATTGAAAAGAGCTCTTGCACACTTTGAAGTAAACACGGAGGTTCCTGGGTTTCACTCCCGTTGCTGGTTCATAGAAAATTCCAAAGATGTCTGTCAATGAAATGTTCATTCAAAGTTTTCTAATCCATCCATATTTCAGGTGAACACTTTTGATAGTGCGGCATGCATTAATCAGCATTTCATATTATTTTAGGTATTAGAAATCTCCTTTGAAAACAAAGGAATAGTAAAATATCATTATTGTCATCAAATTTCATTCTGCCTAAAAATAATTCACTGAAGAAATACTATTCCATATACTGTATGTACTGTATCATTTACACTGAAATATATTTACATACAGTCCTATCCATATTTCCTAATGCAATAAAGCTTCATCTTTGGAAGAGGCAGGATAACAAATCTATCCCATTATGTTACAAAGGCACCTCTTTCTCTGGAATGTTCCCAAGAGCTGGAATCTAAGCACTTAATTAGCAAATCAGATTTTATAACTATAACATAAATATTAAATGCATGTAACTGAATACATGATAGGGGTATGCAAAATCTACCTAATTACAAGAAAGAGAATTAGAATTAGAGCTTTTTACTGAAAGTAAAAATAGAAGTACAGGTAGTCCTCGATTTACAACAGTTCATTTAGTGACCAAAGTTACAACAGCACTAAAAATGAATTATGACCATTTTTCACAGTTACAACCCTTGCAGTATCCCCATGATCATGTATCATAATTCAGAAGCCTGGCAACTGGTTTATATTTATGACCATTGCTATGTTGCAAGGTCATACAATCACCTTTAAAGACCTTCTGACAAGCAAAGTCAATGGGGAAACCAGATTCATTAACAACCGGGTTATTAACTTATCAACTGCAGTGATTCACTTAGCAACTGAAGCAAGAAAGGTGGTAAAAAGGGGCAAAACTTAACAATTGTCTCACTTAGCAACAGAAATTTTAGGTTCAATTGTGATAATTCGAGGACTGCCTGTACCATAAATAACACTGAGATTAGACAAAGAGCAGGACACTGATAGACACTGTAAAGCTTAACTCTATACTTCACTGCCCCTTGTGGTCACTACACTGTGATGTGATGAAGAGTCATAGTCACTTAAGTCTTACTACATATAGTTTTCACTTATGAATTGTTTGAAGTTATAACAAGACAACCCCCTGCCCCCAAAGTTACAACCTATCCTTGAAGTTACAACTGCTGCACACACACACACTTGCAGTCACAGAATAGCATTTCAGGCACTTGACAACGATTTAAAACATTTTTGCTACTTTTCAGCAGAAAATGCTCATTCAGAAGAATAATTTGCTTAAACCATGTAACCAGTGGTTAACAAATATGCTTAACTATGTGATCCACTTAACGATCATGATGATTTGCTTTTCTACCATTGTACAAACAATCGTAAAATCAAGACAGGTTATATGGCAACCCATTTAACAACCGCAATGACTTATGACCAAAATTTCAGGCCCAAATGTCATTAGGTGATGTCATTAGGTGAGGACTACCTATAGTCCCTTTTTTCACTCATTTAGGTGGGTAAATGGATATGACTTCAATACTGGCATTGCAAATATGTGGAATTTAACCCAAGAAAACTTGTCTTTTATGTGAGAACCATAATTTAGGATTCAGAAAATTATACAAAAATAAAAAACACTATTATAAAACAAAACCCAGTGAACCTACCCTGGATTTTGAGTTACCTATTCCCATTTCCATGTCTTTCTGTAATCTTTTCCTTCTGCACCTCAATAATTTAATGATCTTCATGAAGAAATAAAAGAATGATTTGGGACTTGGTACAAGACTGAATGGGGGTGGTAGGGTTTTTCCATCATCAAAGTATGATAACCAGAGTTTGGAACGAGCAAATTTCCACTCCACATCACTGTCGTCCTATGTCAGAAACAAACAAAAAAATTATACTCACAAGTAATTTGCTCCTTTTTATTATGAAGTAAATGCTGCTACTTTCTCATCTTTTCAGAATTTTGTCAGTGTAAATATATAGATCTACTGTTTTACCTGAAAAATCTACTTACAGAAAAATATATTCTAAGCACTTCCAAAAGCTTAGGTAAAACAAGTTATTTTTTATTCTCTTCTATTAAACAACTGACTCATTTTGATAAAACAGTAGAAATAGAATTTTACTAATATTAATCCACATTTTAATTTGATTGCTAGGTAGTACATATTAAAAATTAAACATCTAAACAAAACACAAAAAAATAGATATAGGGAAATCAAATGGTTATATCAGTGGTTTTTAACATTTTCTTCACGATGGACCCCTTTTAAATACTTCTTGTGGCCATGGATGATTGCCGCAGATCACCAAGACTTAACTCAAGATTTAAATCATAGTATTTCTTCAAGCCTTTGTGGATCCTTTGTGACAACATCAAAACTCCTCCAGAGGTCCCCAGATCTCAGGTTGAGAACCATTGGGCTATATCCATTTTCACAACTGGGCAGAGGAAACTTATCAAAATCAAAATGATTTCTTAGTTCTAAATATATGAACACTATTGAGACATACCTCTATTTCTTGGTATGAACTGTTAATCATTGCAATCAGCATGTTGAGTAAAACCACAACCATTGTTACATTGTATATTCCATATAACACATAACCAATATTTTCGATGAACTTATGATCATATTTGAGGACAACTGATGTAACTTCTGATAAGCCAAATATTGACCAAAATAAAGTCTTAAAGCTTTCTTCAACACTGCATGAAAAGGAGAGGGGAGGGGGGAAGCATTAGCTGATTATAAATTTTATAATTTAATTACCTTAATAAACAAAGCGATAGAGAGCCTAATGCACAGAACATAAAATACTTTCACTGAAACTGATTATGCTATACCCTATTGAATATAGTCAATTAAATTTGTGGATGTGGAGCTATATTGTTTAACATAGTACCGTTAAGTCACTATTTCTGATAACTTAAATATTAGGTATTTATATTTATATTATAGCCTTACAACTTATATTGATTCACTGTCAAACAGAAAATAATTCCTAATTCTAAAATATTACCAACCAGCACCACAAGAATGAATGGAGACAACAATCTGGCTTGACATACAAAACCAGAATTGAATGATGCTTTACTAAATATCATTTAGTTGGATTTCTGCAACATATACAGTCATAAACCAAAGTTTCAAGTCACAATTTCTGGGTTTACATATGAGCATATATAGACACAGTGCAATAACCAATAACTACAAAGGTAAACTTCTCCCAAATGGTTTGGAAACTAAAAAGAGGTTCTTAACTGCTGCTATAGAAGTACTGTCATTTTATAATATTGATATATGCCAATAGAAGACTTCCATCTAAACAACATTAATGTCAGCCCATGAACCCAACAAACTAATGTTATAGTAGTACTATACTGTACTATATGTTGAAATTCAGAAACAATTATAGCAAATAAACATAACAGAAAATATTAGGTAAATGCAAAGTAAACATCAATTTAGAAGTAGTCTCAGTTTTTCTGTCATCCATTCTATTACTTTATAGTTCAAGGTGAACAAACTAGTGCCATTTTGATATTTTAACAGCTTGTATAATTCCTTACTATTAACTATTCTTCTTGTTGTATCTAATGTGTGTGTCTAAAAGTCCAAACATTTCAAGGACCCCAGGTTAATTAGTCTTGCAATGACTGATTCAACTGATGAAAGTGACAAGTGTTACTTATTTTCTGGATTGCTGTTGTATAGATAAACATTTTTTCATGTAGCTATAGGTACGATATTGTGTCTTTGAAACAACCATTGTGTGGCTCCTAGTCAGTCTCTTCACCATCTTTCTCAGATGTTTCTAAAACCTTTTACTCACGTCTTGTGTTTTTACATATCCAGCTCCTTTAATTTAGAATTTCCTTTCCTTCCTCCTTAATTTTATCATTGTCAAATATAGTTTTAATTTCCTTTCCTTTATTTTTCTTACACGTCTTTGTAAAAAAATAAAAACACCTGCAAACTGTTTCTGTATAATTGCCAAGAAAACTCCATAAATGTACCTTCCTGTGTATGTAGTCATCAAACCTTTCCGAAAATTTGATCAGAAATAATACAGTAGTAATTGTTTCTGCACTTGCTACTTACGTAGTAAATGCTGCATTTACTTTGGCTCCAAGATAGTAAGAGTACAGTATGAACATCCCAATCATAAAAGCAAGAAATACCATAATAAATAGAACCATAAACTTGAAAATGTCTTTAACAGTTCTTCCAAGTGAAATCTGCAGTGGTCCAAAACTCTCATTTGCAGGTAAAATATAAGCAATCCGAGAGAAACTAAGCACAACAGCAATTGCATAAAGACCTTCTGATATGATTTGTGGATCAGATGGAAGCCATTTATCTCTAGCTAGAAAAAAAATGACATAAACAAGAAGTTTGTTAGTTTTATCTATTTGTTCATTGTGTTGTCAAAACAATAACACAATTAGCAGTTTTTTGAATCTATTTCTGTATGCTGCATGTGACTGTAAATACGGTCTAAAGATCGATGTAAATATTTTCAAATAATTATTGGTCAATAAATATTTTGAGCAGTATTTTTTCTGGACCAATTGAACAACAATTATTCTCTATAGAAATTCAAACTATATAATGTTTTTGCTTTAATATCTTTTTTAAAATCAAACTAGTTTGCTTTTTATAAATTAAAATAAATAAAAAGAATGACCAGAATCTAGAGGGGATAGAATCAAGATCACATGAAGTGTTTAGGCCAATTTATAATGCCTTTGTAAGACCACACTAGGAATATTGCACCCAGTTTTGGTGAGCACAATATTAAAAAAACCTTGAAACTCTAGAAAGAGTACAGAAAAGAGCAAAAAGATAGTTAGGGAACTGGAGGCTAAAACATATAAAGAACAGTTGCTGGAACTGGGTACGTCTAGTTTAATGAAGGACTGGGGTGACATGATAGCAGTGTTCTAATATCTCAAAGGCTGCCACAAAGAAGAGGGAGTCAAGCTATTCTCCAAAGCACCTGAGGGCAGGACAAGAAGCAATAAATGGAAACTAATCAAGAAAAGAAGCAACCTAGAACTAAGGAGAAAATTACTAACAGAACAATTAATCAGTGGAGTAAACTCGCCTTCAGATGTTGTGGGTGCTCCAACACTGGAGGTTTTTAAGAAGAGATTGGACAACCATCTCTTCTTAAATTGTATAGGGCTGTGATGGCGAACCTATGGCACGCAGAGCCATTTGTTAGGACATGCCAGGCATTGCCCTGTCAGCTCCAGTGCGCATGCACGCATTGGCCAGCAGACTTCGGCCTTCTTTTTCAGCCATTTTTCACCCTTCGGAGGCTTCCCTGAACCAAAACCACCCAATGCGGAATGGACTTCTGGTTTATGCATTGGGCTGTTCCCTGAAGCTCCAGAGGGTGAAAAACGGTCCTAAGGGCAACCCGGAAGTCTCAATTCCCAAACTTCTGAGTTGCCCGTAGTGTTGTTTTTTTGCCCTCCCAAGTGTGAAAAATGGCACTACGGACAACCCAGAAGTTCGGGAATGGGGACTTCCACTTTGCCCGTAGGGCCGTTTTTCACCCTCCGGAGTCTTCAGGGAAGCCTTCTGAAGGCTCGAGGGCAAAAAACAGTGCTACGGGCAAACCAGAAGTCCCCGTTCCCGAACCTCTTGGTTGCCCATAGTACCATTTTTCGCTCTCCCGATGTTTCAGGGAAGCATTCTGAAGCCTCCAGAGGGCCTCCAAGAAGGGGGCAGGGGAGGCTGTTTTCACCCTCCCTAGGCTCCTAGGCACCCTCCCTAGGCAGAGAAAGCCTCTGGAGCCTGGGGAGGGCAAAAAAAGTGTGCCAAAAACAGGGGGGAGGGTGCTGGTCACATGTGCATGCGGGATCACACACATAGCATTATGGGTATGGGCATGCCTGCGCAAGACCCCTCTGCGCTCCCCCCGCTTTTGGCACGTGATCCAAAAAAGGTTAGCTATCACTGCTATAGGGTTTCCTGCCTGAGCAGGGGGTTGGACTAGAAGTCCCTTCCAAATCTGTTATTCTGTTAGTAATCGGAAAAACTAATTAACAACATTCAAACAGCAAAAAATATATAGCTATTTTATAAGAAATCACAATTCAATAGGAGTATACAGTCTATGGTTAATATTCAGCTGCAGAAAGCCTTTCATAAAGTATTGCTAAATCTGCCATGTGAGATAAACATGAAATGTGTTCAGACCTGGCCAACTGAGAGTTAGCTACCCGTGCTTTAAAAAATATTAGCCATTTTAATATGCCAGAGAGACATGGCAACATATTTGAACTTACCATAAGTAAAATACTCTATATCTGGTGGAAGGGTGACTACAGAGAGATCTGTCTCCTGGATATATTTGTCCACATAGTTTTGTGCTTTTGTAGCTTGTAAAAAGGCCAACAGTCTAGCCGTGAATGCAGCAATAAAAATAGATAACATTCCAAAATCAAGAACATTCCAAAGCTGCAGAATATATTCCCGGGGTCCTTCTAGCCAGAGCTCTTTACACTCAGACCACATCATACCTGAAAAAGAAATGCAATGAAATCCAGCTAAATGTAAGTAAGGATGCAATCCAAATACACCAACCTGAGTCACATGACTAATTTGACTTTTTTAATACACCTGTGAATGACTATACTTTCAGACCAGAAATAAATAGCATACGTAATGAATGATCAGAATGATGCAGATGTTTTAAGGCCTACTTACATTGAATAACTTGCCAGTGCATACTATTACAAATTATGCAGTTTCTTACATCATAAAATAGGTGGAATTGGACTATATATTACCAGCATCCACACTATTAAAGAAATACAGTAAAAGGCCCTTAAATATTAGGCTAAATCCACTGTAATATAAAGTACCTAAAAATTAATGATTGGTATTTGGGGGCCACTGTACTGTACAACAGTTTTCCTCAACATACTATTGCTATCATGGTTTCCAACATAGACTTGAATTTAGAGTTTCTACTTTGCATTGAGTATTACAAGCTATTTAGTTGAGCATTCTGGGTGATTCACCCCTTGCCAAGGTCAGACAACTTTTAAAATACTCAAAACAGCCAGAAACAAGTTTGAATAGTTCTTTAGTTTGAACATTTGTAATCTGAATCATGATTTCTTTTTGTTGTATGCTTTCTATATTAACAATGCCATGGGTTCTAGAGTAGTGGTCCCCAATCTTTGCTGCTTGGTAATCAGGAGGGGGGGAAATAGGGTTATGTGAGTGATGGGCCAGTACGCATGTGTGTGCATGCAGCTTGACTCATGCAAGTGGTGAGCCGGCACACACAGGCCCGGTAGTGGGTCCCAGCCCGGGGGTTAGGGACCCCATTCTAAAAATCTGCTGAGATGTATTTATCATTATAGCATCATGCAGAGATGTCAAAAAAAATATACACTGCAATAAGTAAATAAGGAAATATATACATACCAAGCACCCATATCATTATCAGCATCTCTGTCCAAGTGAACTGAGTTGTCTTAACTCGAAAGATCTGTTTTGGGTAATCAATAACCGTTTCATTTGGTAATACTGAGATGCCTTCAAATCTATCTGAAGCATTAAACACTAGTAGTCCCAAGAAAATAATGAAGGAGGCCGCATGTGCCACAAATTTCATAAATGGACTCCGGAGAATTTTCCCAAGCTAAGAAAACAAAGTAAAAGTATGGTTTTTGCTTTGACTTTTTTCATCTATACGTGCTTTCATTTTCAGCAAATAGCAATAGCAACACCACTTAGACTTATATACCATTTCACAGTGCTTTACAGTTGTCTCTAACCAGTTTGCAGAGTAAGCATATCGCCCCCAACAATCTGGTCCTCATTT